TGGGGTTATTTAAAGTGTCGTTTTGGGTTAGTTAAGGTCTTGAACGGTCGATCGTTGAGTTTAAGATATTGTACCAAATAATATGGGGCGGTTCAAATGTCATCGTAGGAAGTGTCGTCGTGAGTAAGCTGGAGTAGAGAGCCGTCGTTGAGAAAGTCCTGGAGTCGTTGTAGGTAAACTAAGATATGTGGATAATATTTGTTGTCTATGGTTTACCTTTCACTGCTTAAGGAAGAGCAATCCACAAGACATGAGGAAAGGTAAAGGAACATGTAGAGAAAGCAATGGAAGCGCAAAACACTGAAGAAAAAAAATCAAAGAATGACAACGGTAAATAAAGACTACAAGGAAGAGGAGACTATAGATAAGATACATAGGTAGGGACTAAGAACAGAATAAAATGCTGTTAGTCATGATAAATAACAATGTGTAATAAAGAGTAATTAGTGAACAAAAAAGTAATAAAGACGGGAGAGACAGATATGAGGAATGTGTTTTGTTTACAAGACAAAAATTTATTTCTCCAGCCGGTTAAAAATCTGTCTTGTCAGCCGGGTAAAAATCTATTTCGTCAGCCGGTCAAAAATCTATCTCGCCAGCTGGTCAAAAATCTATCTCGCCAGCCGGTCAAATATGTCTTGCCAGCCGGTCATAATTTGTCCAATAAAGTGGGGGAAAAAAAACCACGACCAGGTGGACTTCGCTATAGTGTAAGTTAGTGTAAGGAAAGGCAGCATGTATCACGCTCTGTAACTTTCAGTATTTTGTTTTTCTTTCGATAAATCAGAGACAGTTTATAGTGTAAGGGTTGACTCCAGTCTTAACTAAATGAGAAGGTTTGAGCCTCTTGAGTTTCGTTCATCTGCAATGCTTAAGTTAATGATTTGACTCTTATGATTTGGTTCGCTTATAATTGAAAACTTGAGAAGTATGTACCAGTGTGTAGTGTAGTGTAGTACCTAAAGAACAGGAGGTGGAAGTAGCTTAATTAGCTTTCATGTTTATAATGTCTATTAACTCTTAGTAAGACTATTAATGATGTGACTGACGAGGCAGCCGATGGCCACAATTGTTGGTAATTATAGGGTTGGGTTTGGTGTATGTTTCCCAGCTCAAGTTTAGTGTTAAGTATTTTAGCCGGGTATCATCAGAGGGTAGGGAGGAACACGCTCACTGCTGTAACAATCACTGTAATTGAATCATATCATCCTATTCATTTGCTCTCCACAGTATGTGTCTCCAACATGATTTGTTTCCTATGTTGGCGTCTACAATAGTACACAGGAGGTGACGCTGCGGAAGAGGTCTGGGCACAAAAAAAGAAGTTAACTGGCCTTGCGTGACGGGGTAGGGTTGGCTTCCAGGTAACGACAGGTAATACTATTAAGCTTCTGGTAACCGGCGGCGACGACAGGAAGAAAAAATAATAATTACAAACCGGTGAGCATAAGCTATCCCGCTTGTGCTGCCCACAGAGTGATGATACAGGTGATGTGTACTGTACATGTTACTGTGGGGAGCTGGAACTCGTGGCAGAAGCGAGTTGGTGTTTTTCTGCGTCAGTGTGTGTGTGTGTGTGTGTGTGTGTGTGTGTGTGTGTGTGTGTGTGTGTGTGTGTGTGTGTGTGTGTGTGTGAACTCCTTACCTCCGTGTTTGTTATTCATTAGTAACATCAAGAGCGCCTCTCAGTCTTCGAGTCTCAAAGGCTCATGACGAGTGTGAATATAATTGTCATGCTCACAGCCTCCCAGTCTATTGCTAGTAGCTATCTGGAATTTTTAATAATCTTCGGCTGACGAATTCAACTTCCGAAAGTTCATATACGGAAAATCTTAATATTGACGTAATAATTGTGCTTTGAATATCAAGTACCGTAATGCAAAGACCAACAAGAATTATTTTTTATCGCAGTAATTCGTGACAACCATCCTGGGTGACAACAGTGAACACACGGCTCTAGGTCGGCGGGATGGGTGGTTATATTTACAACCATCCTGGGTGACAACAGTGAACACACGGCTCTAGGTCGGCGGGATGGGTGGTTATATTTACAACCATCCTTGGTGACAACAGTGAACACACGGCTCTAGGTCGGCGGGATGGGTGGTTATATTTATAACCATCCTTGGTGACAACAGTGAACACACGGCTCTAGGTCGGCGGGATGGGTGGTTATATTTACAACCATCCTTGGTGACAACAGTGAACACACGGCTCTAGGTCGGCGGGATGGGTGATTATATTTACAACCATCCTTGGTGACAACAGTGAACACACGGCTCTAGGTCGGCGGGATGGGTGATTATATTTACAACCATCCTTGGTGACAACAGTGAACACACGGCTCTAGGTCGGCGGGATGGGGGGGTTATATTTTGCCATTAACAAATGGCCGCCAGGCGTAGCGTCACATATCTTCGTCACTGATTTCTTTTTCAACTTTAGCTCAGAAAATGTTTTTTTCTGGTCGTAAGTGTCCACTGCGACCTGGAAAAACATGGAATGAGTAGGAATGACAGTTTTAGTGAACCGTGTGAGGGCCGCTTTAATCAGTTAACTTCTTGAAAATAACATTGGTCAATGGAATGATGTTAATGCCTAAGCGTTGTATTGTGGTCGGATGTACGCGTGGTTAGTCTGGCAGGCCACTAACACCTGCTGGATAACATCACGAGTATCCGGATAGCCAGGAGACGTGATTCCCGGGTTTTGCTGTCTGGAACTTTCGCCCCTGCAACAAGTTCAGCCTCTCCCTCTTCTTGTATTCTGGTAAAATCTATCTCCTTGGAACAGTTTGTTGACTTCCAGAACGCCGTCGAGTGCCTCCCCAAGAGAGGTTTGTTGACTCTGCTTTCTCTTGTCTGAATTGTTACGTCCTTGGGTGCGTCGTTTACCTGTGCTTGGATGGGCACAAGGTGGTGGCGGCGGCGGCGGCGGCGGCAGCGGCACCAGCAGCAACGACGTATACAGATGATCAGCTGCCTTGTACGTGGATGTTGAAGAGTAGTTTGTTGGCCAGATAGTGTTGTGACTAAGGTATTTTTTTTTGTTTTGTTTTAACATTCGGGGCAATAAATAAAAAAAGGAATCCAGAACATCTGGTCACTTTTATTTGACCATACAAATAAATTCACCAAACTCGAAAAACTACTTGAACGGAATTACCACCCCGAATGTTAAAAATAAATAAATAAATATATATATATATATATATATATATATATATATATATATATATATATATATATATATATATATATATATATATATATATATATATATATATATATATATGAGATAGAGAGAGAGAGGTATATTCTTGTGGTGACTGGGTAGTGGAAAGGGCACGACGTACTTGTAGGGCTGAGTGGTGTTAGGGGACACGTCCTGGTAGGGTTGAATGGTGGAGAGGACACTGTGGTGGGGCTGAATGGTGGAGAGGACACTGTGGTGGGGCTGAATGGTGGAGAAGACACTGGTGGGGCTGAATGGTGGAGACTGTAGAGGACACTGATGGGGCTGAGTGCTGGAGAAATTATGTTTGGGTAGTGGTGGGGATTGAATGGTAGAGATCGGTATGTTGTGGGGTCGGACGGTGGAGGTGGGCTAGGCCTCAGATGGTTAAGTGGTGGTCAGTTAATTATAAATGCTTGGCGTCATCCAGTGATTGTTAAGGGCTTTGTGTGCGTGTCGGTGTTACCAGTTGTAGAACGGGTCCCCCCAATCACTGACACCAACTACCCCCCTCACCGCTTCCCTAATATATTAATGTGGACTGTAACTTGGGTGTATAACTTGTCAGGGGTAGAACATGCGCTGGTTGAGAAGATAATGTGAAGAATTAAAGGTGATGGATGGAAGGTAGTTGGCCAGCGGACGTGTACATCATCGGTGAACTGTGTCGAGTGTGGAGAGTAAATGAAGTCCTTATATGGCTTACTGTCAGTATTATGAAGTGAACGTTCATGTTCACTGTTGAGGTGATATGACCAGCTCCGGGTGGGAGTCTAGTGTGTGGAGGTGATGTAATTTGATCAGAAGATATATGTTAGCTCCGGGTTTGGGAAGGTCGGCTCTGGTGTTTTGATGTGCTGTGGTGTTATAATTTAATCACAGGACAGGGAGTGTCTTGTGGTGGGGTGGGAGGCTTGAGACTAGGATGTGGGGGTAAGTGTAGCCGGTGAAGCTCCTGGTTCTGGTAGAGTCTGGCGGGTGTTTAGCTCCCAGTAAACCGTTCCCATGGCAACACGTTACAGCCATCTCCGCCTGCGTGCACCCTGGCTTCACTAGGTAGGTGGCTGTCCTACTGGCTTACTTTTTAGCGACCTTTCTGTTTTACTGGGGTGGAAAAGACCTCATGTATATTTTGGTTCATGCACAAGTATAATTGACAAAACCGGTTGGGCGCACATATAGTCTTTTAACTGCGTTTAATATTGACCCCGTTTATCATATATAGGAGTGAGGTACAGTTTGGCTTTTGGGACATAAAGGAAATTCTCAAAGACGCCACATTGTTCCAATTAGGTGTGTTGTCAAGGGGAAGCAAACCTGGGTAGAAATCAGTCATTGGTCATCTCCATTACACGTCTCCAGCATTCTTCGTCACAATTACAGTCATCAACATGCTTATGGCCGCAGCTTTCATGATTGTGTCATTGTGTTGAGTTTACACAGGGGCGGGTAGAGTCTGCAACACTTGTTGTAAGTACCTTAGTGGCTTGTCAGCACAAGATTTTCTGCTCTCAGAATTACGTTAAAGTTGTACACTTGTGAGAGGAGGTCGTGACTACACTGTGGTGTTCTACTGACCCACCCACACAGAACACAGACAGGTAAGTTGTATAGTGGTGATGGGGTGAGGATGTATCAGGCTGGCACCGGTAGCTGCTATGAAAGATGGAGGACAAGTTGCTTTGAAGTCTTGACAACATAATTATGTTTCTCCTGTCCTTAGTTGAGAGGAAAATCGAATTTAATCATTTTGAGAAACTCTTTAGTCAAATGCGTGTCGGAGGCCGCCTGTGTACCTGGTCTGTGTGCCTGGTCTGTGTACTGATCTGTGTAATGGTCTGTGTACTGGTCTGTAAACCTGGTCTGTGTGCCTGGTCTGTGTACTGATCTGTGTAATGGTCTGTGTACTGGTCTGTGTCCCTGGTCTGTGTACTGATCTGTGTAATGGTCTGTGTCCCTGGTCTGTGTACTGATCTGTGTAATGGTCTGTGTAATGGTCTGTGTCCCTGGTCTGTGTACTGTCTGTGTAATGGTCTGTGTCCCTGGTCTGTGTACTGTGTAATGGTCTGTGTGGTCCCTGGTCTGTGTACTGATGTGTAATGGTCTGTGTGCCTGGTCTGTGTTCTGACTGTGTACTGATCAATACTGTCTGTACTGATCTGTGTAATGGTTGTGTCCTGGTCTGTGTACTGATCTGTGTAATGGTTGTGTCCCTGGTCTGTGTACTGATCAATGGTCTGTGTAATGGTCTGTGTACTGGATCTGTGTAATGGTCTGTGTAATGGTCTGTGTACTGATCTGTGTACTGATCTGTGTAAAAATGGTGTTCTGGTGTCCTGATTGCCTGTGTGCCTGGTCTGTGTACTGATCTGTGTAATGGTCTGTGTCTGGTCTGTGTGATCTGTGTAATGGTCTGTATGTGGTCTGTGTGTACTGATCTGTGTAATGGTCTGTAATGGTCTGGTGTCCCTGGTCTGTGTACTGATCTGTGTAATGGTCTGTGTAATGGTCTGTGTCCCTGGTCTGTGTACTGATCCTGTGTAATGGTCTGTGTAATGGTCTGTGTCCTGGTCTGTGTACTGACTGTCTACTCTGTACTGATCTGTGTAATGGTCTGTGTAATGGTCTGTGTCCCTGGTCTGTGTACTGATCTGTGTAATGGTACTGGTCTGTGTGCCTGGTCTGTGTACTAGTCTGTGTAATGGTCTGTGTCCCTGGTCTGTGTACTGATCTGTGTAATGGTCTGTGTCTGTGTCCTGGTCTGTGTACTGACTCTGTGTAATGGTCTGTGTAATGGTCTGTGGTCTGTGTCCTGGTCTGTGTCCCTGGTCTGTGTAATGGTCTGTGTGCCTGGTCTGTGTACTGATCTGTGTAATGGTCTGTGTAATGGTCTGTGTCCCTGGTGTGTACTGATCTGTGTAATGGTCTGTGTCCCTGGTCTGTGTACTGATCTGTGTAATGGTCTGTGTCCCTGGTCTGTGTACTGATCTGTGTAATGGTCTGTGTCCCTGGTCTGTGTAATGGTCTGTGTCCCTGGTCTGTGTCCCTGGTCTGTGTGTAATCTGTGTCTGTAATGGTCTGTGTGCTGATCTGTGTAATGGTACCTGGTCTGTGTCTGTCTGTGTAATGGTCTGTGTAATGGTCTGTGTCCCTGGTCTGTGTACCGATCTGTGTAACTGATCTGTGTAATGGTCTGTGTAGTCTGGGTCTGTGTCCCTGGTCTGTGTTGCTGTGTACTGTGTAATGGTCTGTGTCCCTGGTCTGTGTAATGGTCTGTGTAATGTCTGTGTCCCTGGTCTGTGTAATCTGTACCTGGATGTACTGATCTGTGTAATGGTCTGTGTAATGGTCTGTGTCCCTGGTCTGTGTACTGATCTGTACGGTCTGTGTCCCTGGTCTGTGTATTGATCTGTAATGGTCTGTGTACTGATGTATGTAGTACTGTGTACTGATCTGTGTAATGGTCTGTGTAATGGTCTGTGTCCCTGGTATGGTCTGTAATGGTCTGTGTCCCTGGTCTGTGTCTGTGTACTGATCTTGTGTAATGGTCTGTGTCCCTGGTCTGTGTACTGATCTGTGTAGTGTGTGTGGTCTGTGTGCTGATCTGTGTAATGATCTGTAATGGTCTGTGTCCTGCTGGTCTGTGGTCTGTGTACTGATCTGTCTGGTCTGTGTCCCTGTGTCTGTGTAATGGTCTGTGTGTGCTGGTCTGTGTCCCTGGTCTGTGTCTGTGTGGTCTGTGTCCTGGTCTGTGTACTGATCTGTGTAATGGTCTGTGTAATGGTCTGTGTCCCTGGTCTGTGTAATGGTCTGTGTAATGGTCTGTGTCCTGGTCTGTGTACTGATCTGTGTAATGGTTTGTGTACTGGTCTGTGTCCCTCTGTGTACTGATCTGTGTAATGGTCTGTGTGCCTGGTCTGTGTACTGATCTCTGTGTACTGGTCTGTGTACTGATCTGTGTAATGGTCTGTGTACTGGCTGTGTACTGGTCTGTGTACTGATCTGTGTAATGGTCTGTGTCCCTGGTCTGTAAACCTGGTCTGTGTCCCTGGTCTGTGTACTGATCTGTGTAATGGTCTGTGTACTGGTCTGTGTCCCTGGTCTGTGTACTGATCTGTGTAATGGTCTGTGTCCCGGTCTGTAAACCCGGTCTGTGTGCCTGGTCTGTGTGATCTGTGTAATGGTCTGTGTACCGGTCTGTGTCCCTGGTCTGTGTACTGATCTGTGTAATGGTCTGTGTCCCTGGTCTGTGTACTGATCTGTGTAAATGGTCTGTGTGCCTGGTCTGTGTACTGATCTGTGTAATGGTCTGTGTGGTGGTCTGTGCTGATCTGTGTAATGGTCTGTGTGGTCTGTGTGTGGTCTGTGTAATGGTCGATGTAATGGTCTGTGTACTGATCTGTGTAATGGTCTGTGTCCCTGGTCTGTGTACTGATCTGTGTGGATTCTGTGTGCCTGGTCTGTGTACTGATCTGTGTAATGGTCTGTGTCCCTGGTCTGTGTACTGATCTGTGTGTCTGGTCTGTGTACCTGGTCTGTGTGTGGTCTGTGTAATGGTCGATGTAATGGTCTGTGTACCTGGTTTGTGTGTGTGGTCTGTGTACTGGTCTGTGTAATGTTCTGTGTAATGGTCTGTGTAATGGTCTGTGTACTGGTCTGTGTTATGTTCTGTGTAATGGTCTGTAATGGTCTGTGTCCCTGGTCTGTGTACTGATCTGTGTGTCTGGTCTGTGTACCTGGTCTGTGTGTGGTCTGTGTAATGGTCGATGTAATGGTCTGTGTACCTGGTTTGTGTGTGTGGTCTGTGTACTGGTCTGTTTACTGGTCTGTGTATTGGTCTGTGTACTGGTCTGTGTAATGTTATGTGTAATGTTCTGTGTAATGGTCTGTGTAATGGTCTGTGTACTGGTCTGTGTAATGGTCTGTGTAATGGTCTGTAAACCTGGTCTCTGTATCTGGTCTGTAAACCTGAGCTGTGTCTGGTCTGTATACCTGGTCTGTGTCTGGTCTGCTTACTGGTCTGTTCACCTGGTCTGTGTCACTAATTATTAAGACTGGCTCCCGGGGGGAAGGGGCGTCAGACGAAATAATTAGTGATTCTCCTCCCTCCCCCATTGGTGAATTCGTCCTCTCCTGTGGAAGGTGGGGGGCACAAAATCAATACCGGTAGTGATTTCGCCCACTCGTAGCTCACCTTAGCCCCAGGTTACGGTTCCTAATAATACCTGGAGAGAAGGAGGGGAATGTTGAGGCAAATAAAGGATACGAGGCTTAATAGGGAGTACATTCTCAATTCATTTATATCCTTAACCCCCCCCCCCACCCCCTCCTAGGGATGGGACGAGATCTCTAGTGCATTCGTGTGGGGGGATCTGTGATCCACCATTGGGTCATCACCCTGTTTCTTTATAGGCACAAGCGTTTGACACATCATCAAAGGTTGAAGTTTAGTATGTTATGAGTGCCGCCCCGGTCAGAGAGAGAGAGAGGTACTGACACCAGCGTGTACCTCACCTCCTGTGTAGTAATAATAATAATAATAATAATAATAATAATAATAATAATAATAATAATAAAGGGTTTATTTAAAAGTACAGCAGCCAGAGGCTGGAAATATACGATGGACAAAAATCACTTACAGTATTAGGTATAGGGGGATTAAAGGGTGAATTATTTAACAAAAGATTTAAGTATAAATTTTAGACACGGAATGAAAAATACAGTCCTGTCGTCTGTAAGTAACTGACAATATAGTGTTGCAGAGGATCTCGTGTAGTTGTAGTACTGCCTCAAGATGTAAACAATACATATATGATGTTCTCATTGATGCTCATTTCCATTTACTATTTTTTAATGTGTTGTACCAGTTAAAGTTTGATTTCTAGTATCAAGAGCCACTGGGTGAGGCCTTGGGTGATGGCTGTGGTGGCGTCACTCTCCCCTTACCAGGACATTCACCTCACTTGTCTGTAATGTCGCTCTCGCCACCATGTGTGTGTGTGTGCGCGCATTTATCATAGTATTTCAATAACAATATGGTCATCTTTGAATAGTTTTATTTTATTTTTTTTTGTGTGAAGCGGTAGATGTGGAGCCATATAAAAAGTCCTCGCACCATTATCCGGAAAACAGATTATTTTGTTATTTATTTTTTATTTTTAAAGGAAGATGTTCCTGCCCGGTAGTGCGTACACCACGCCCTGCCCACCACCACCTGCTGCTGCCACTGTCTTCCTCCTCGTACTGCTGCTGCTTTTACCTAATCTTCTTTACCTCTTCCTCCAACTCTTCCTTGACCTGCCTCTCATTCGCGCTCCTTGTGTCCTACCCCTTGTACTGTACTTCCCTTCTCACTGTTGTCTCCTCTTCATCGTCACCTCATCTTTCACCAACCTACACACCCGTCTTCCTAATAACAGGATAATTTTTTTGTGCTGTCAGTATATAGAACGAGGTGAAAAAATTGTTGTGTACAATAATAAACCAAACGAGAGACGCTGCTGGTGGTGGGGGCGGCGGCAGGACATTACTTGTAGAGCTGCTGTGTAATGTGACGGTCACAGGTAACGTGAGGCAGGTGAACAGCCAACGGCTCCCCTCACAACACCTGTCACCGGTAGTTACCAGTCATGGTAATATCTGGGTTTATCATCATCTTGTTTATCATTTACTCGGTGGTAGGGGGTACGTGGGAACACCTAAAGATTAACCCCAACTTATTTCACTTCAAGATCAACCACCCTAACCATAACCTAAGCTAACATAGCGTAACCTAACCTAAACGAACCTAAGCAAACCCCTTAATCATCAAGTGATATAAACTGGGGCTAATCATCAGGTGATCCATTTTTTGTTTTATTCTTGTCGACACTGGCGCTGCTGTGATGGTGGTGTAATATCATTGTTTATTTTGGTCGTTATCGGTGTGGGGGAGAACAGAGAAGGTTTAACAGACTAATAACACCGATAGGTAAATTATATATATATATATATATATATATATATATATATATATATATATATATATATATATATATATATATATATATATATATATATATATATATATATATATATATATATATATATATATATATATATATATATATTTTTTTTTTTTTTTTTTTTTTTTTTTTTAATTGAGTCAAATATTACTATTGCCCTCTAATTGTTTCGGTGTTTGGACGGATACTGAAGGCCGTAACCTTGGTGATTGAACTGTGTGCGTGGTGGGTTAACCAATACTTCATCTTGGGGTGTGTCAGTGATATTTTTACACAGCTCACACAAAGACCATCATGACCGAGGATTAATTTTTCTCTGCCACATCTCAGTTATATTACCATGGTAGTTTTATTTCACAACATAACCTGGATATAATTAGGTTAAGATTCATAATCTTGCCTCGACCTTTTCTTCTCGGTGTCAATTACTTCCTCTAAACACCCAGCTGCTGTGCAGTTGAGTTACCTCAAAGGAGTCTTGGCTGATTTACCTGGTGGCTCTCAACTGTTCTTTATTAATCCCGGGGTCCAGGAGGCGGACTCAAAAGACTGTGGCACACTTCCAGCTTCACCCAAACAAGCTGTTGGGGGTGATGATGCAGTTAATTCGTGCACTGTACTTGGAAGTGTCTTTATTTATTTATTTTATTTTTTTTGGCGGGGGGGTCGTCTGTTGAACACATGTAATTGTAGGTAATAATTTATGTTATTTTTCGTAATGCCAAACTTTAATATCTACCGAGACGTCGGCCATTACGTCATCCTTATGTTTTACAAGTCTTCTGTGTTCTGAAAGCCTCGCTAACTCTCATTTAGAGCTGGAATACTATTTTCTTGATCCTTCCTTATAGACAGCAGCCGTATAATACTAGACGAACACTCACTCACACCTCCCTCCCTCCAACTGCCTGTAACACTTATCCTTGTTACGCCATAGTATTATTCCCTTCATGTAAATTAGGAAAACTTAAGTTTTTTGTTTAAATTTTACGTCGTGTCTCAGCGTTATAACCAGTTTATGCAGAGGTGATGTCTTTATACAGCAGGGTGGTTTATTTACCTTCGCCTATACAGTATAGAGTATATCATCATCTTTGCTACTCTGTCGTCAACATGTGACTGATGTCCTGTGGTTGGGGAATATTGACGGCTGATTAATCCAAGCACAAATTGATCAGTACAATTGCAGGGGATAATTTTTCTTTTTAACATGAACGTTTTTCTCGTGATAATAATCTGTTTGAGAGTTAAGGAAAGAGTTTACGTTTAATACTGTGCAACATATTGTGTTAAAGGATACAAGCTAATAATAATAATAATAAAATAATACAATTATAATAAGTTGATATTGTTGAAATTATCAGCAATAAAGTTGATTAGAGGTTTAAAGTTCGTATGATTGTGAATATTTTAATTGTTTGGGAATTCGGAATGGACGGTAGGAATAGTGTATTTTGACACCAGTCCGTGAGATAACCTCTCCCTCCATCGTTGCTCCCCTCTCTCCTTCCCTCACCATGACAACACATGCCTCGTCAATAAGTTAGGTGCATCACCCTAACAACCTACGTGGTACCCTCAGTATGGTGTCTTTAGTTTGCCTTTTTTATTTTTTTTGGTCCCTAAGAGTCCCCAAAGCTTGGTCTTCCTCGTTCATCAAAAGCTTAGTCCCTATCGCCTCTTCCGAAGCTTAGTCCCCCACTCAAACTTAGTTCCCGTCGTATACCTCACACCCAACATGGTGTAATATTCCACCCAGTATATCATGTTTTATTACCAGTATCGCCACACTATCTATATTTCATGCCTATATTCCTCCACTGATAACATTTTACGATCAATTTCACTCCATTATCCACAAGGTCAACTTTTATCAACAGTTTTGCTCAGTTATCTCTTTACTTTTAGAGCCTAACCTCCAGGCATCCTCTTTCAGTGCCCCAACAGGAAGGGGTGACGTTGCAGCCTCTACCCCCCTCCTCCCGCTCTACTAGCTGAACGACTCATGTGGGAGGCCCCACACGAGTCGTTCAGCCTCCCACGCTGTGTTGTGTTCTGTGGGGGTTGGGTTGTGTACATGACCTTCCGTGAGGGACGAAGGTTTTCGCACACTTTTGTTGACACGTCTTCCGTCCGTTCACATTTACCCGTGTGTCAGTGAGCATTGCCAGGCTGTTAACTACGGCATAAATTTCCTTACGTTTGACACCAGTATGAAGTAATTTTATACCTCGATAGGAAGGGGAATTTTTAAT